GATATCGAAGGGTTGTATCCTGAGAAAATCAAAAGCGCCGAACCGAGATCTCAGAATATCTTCTTGAATCCGTAAGGGGTAAAAGGAAAAGAGCGTCCCCTTTATCAGGGGATTCTACGAATATTGACGGCGGGTATTGACTTCGGCAGCAGCATAAATCAGATACCATTGGGAAATGACTAAAGAAGCAAGAAAAAAAGAAAATATAAAAAACTATCGAAAAAGTCTCTCCGCGAAGAGATATCTTCAATTTCGAGAAAACAACAAATTAATAAAAGAACTTGTCAAAACAGAACCTTAACGAAAAATAACACCTCTTGATATTACTTTTATTTTACATTTTAAAATAAATTGGCACTCTCTCTCTCTTAAAAGCTTTTTCGATCGTAAAAAATAAACTCGAGGAAAAGTAATATTTTATTATTTCTTGCATATATTTACACATCTTCTTTGATCATATTGAATAATTTCGAACAATTTATTGCGTATTTTCTCAGATTCATTTACAAATGAGTTTCGTGAGATCTTGGCAAAAATTTTAATAAGATATTTGAGTCTTTTTTATTTCTACACAATTTTCTCTTGATATAAAAAAGGGATAATTTTTGTGTCACGTTTAATATAAAATTACATTAGTTAAATTTTGCGAAAAAAAGAGCGAGAAATATAATCGATCGAAGACAAATTAAAATTACGAATTAAAAAGCGAATAAAACTTGAACGAATGATCGCTGCAGGTGCAAAATATCGAGGTCGAGATAGTCGATGTGAGAAAATGGCGCTGCTGCGGTTGAAAAAAAAATCAGGGCGTGAAGATGCAACATCGTGGATCACCGGGACGAAAATGGATGAAATGCCGACAGAGAAGGTGAAACGTGGAAACGAAGGGTTGGGCGTTGGGGAAAGACAGAAGGGTGTTCCTTGGAGGGTGCTCGCGAAGCTGCCTAGTTCGACCGTAGAGTTTGAATAATGCAGACTTGCACAACGCTGCTTAAAAGTGATCGGTCCATCCCCTCCACCGTCTCTTCTCACCCCTATATCCTCTTCGTCTCGCCGATCCCTTTAGAATCTCACTTCCAGTTCGTCTAAGAGTACGAACTAAGATTGATTTTAGATTGGGTGGGAATTGGGAATAGTGAGCCTGTTACTCTCTCTCTTTCTCTCTCTCGAGCGGGTTCTCCGTCTCTCTTATCGTCTCTCTTTCTCTCTCTTTCTCTCTCTTTCTTCGTCGTACCATTTGATTTTCTTTGCCTTCCCCTGTTTCCTTCCAATGTACATACGAACATGTGCATTTACATAGCCGGGTGTAATATGTTTATGTAACTGGAAAAGGCGTTGAGTAGATGCACTGTATTTACGATCTCAGTCGAGATTTATTCCCCTAGCGATTAGAATAAGAATAGGCCAAGAATACAAAAGGTTGGGATTTTAATTCTTCAAAAATGATGAATTTTATCTTTCAACAATATTGTATAAAATTTATATTTCAAAACACATGTTTAAGATGACATTTTAATGATCTTATTTTTAATTGATTACTTGATTTATTATTATCTTTGTTATTGTACTTTTATCTTCTGTATCACATTTAAGAATTATATAATGGACATTAACATTTTCATTCGTCGCATTCATTTCGCTTTCACGCTCAATTTACATATTTTGCTGCGCCTGTAATCGCCGCGCCAGTTCGAATGGAATTATGGAAAGAACGTCCTTTGTGGACGTGACCGTATATAAAAGCCTGGTCTCTGAACGAGATTTATCCTGCCGACGATCGACTCTCCCAGGGGAGTATAAAAGTGCCAAATTAGAATGGTACAGCGGCTGGGCCAGTGTCATGCCTATATAGGGCACGGCGAAAGCCCGCATTGCGGAATGAGAGATCGCCTATCACTGGCTCCCCTCTCCCCTCTGCGAGACTAATTCATGCGAGATCATAATTCCAAGTGATGCGAGGATATCGTATGAATCGGAATGATCATTTAAACTCCCATTTGAATTTAATAGCTTGCTGAAACTCCCATAAGATGCCTTTGACGATTTATACCAACTGATATATTTTATATATAACACTTTATACTTGTACCATTACGATACAAGAATTCTTGTTTTATTTTTGCTCTCTCGTTTCGTGGAGATTTTTTCACGAATAAAAATTTCAGTAGAAAGAAAATCAGTTTAAAAATGGCAGTCTATACATAGATTGTAATATACTCTGCGAACTTGTTACTTCATTATCTTAAATTAAATACATTCCGTCTTTCTGTTTATCTATTATTATTATTTAATTGAGATTAAGCTGCATTATTGAAGTAGTTTTTAATAATCTCAGAGCATGATTATTTTTTCTGCAATATATTTTTAAAAGTTAGAAAGTTAAATACTTCAATAAAAGGAAGAAAGAGGGAGAGAGAGAGAGAATATTTTATACGAAAATGAAAAAGAACGACTTGATTGAAAACTTTATTGAATTTTTTAAGATATCTTTAAAAATATTTACTAAAAGAGAAATATTAAAATTATGACGAATATATATTTTATGTGTAGAATAAGAATTAATGTATTATTGCAACTAGAAAAAATGTTTTTGAAAAGACATTTTTTGAAGATAATGCTAAAAATATACGTTATCATTTCTTCACTTTTACATAGATATTATTATTTATATATTAAAATTTATGGAACTGTATGTGAAAATATTTCGATCTATTATATTTTTTCATTTCTCCCTTTCTCTCTCTAGTTATTTTATTTTATTATATATTTTTTATTTTAAAATCTTATCTCCTATTTTTCTCGCAATTCTTTTTTATTTTTCTCTTATTTTTTATTATTTATTTTTTTCATTTATCTTTTATTATTTTTTTATAATTTTGTACTTGCATTAAATATCCAGTCGATCCAGAAATCGATTAATCTTTAAGACATATTTTGTAACTTGTCGCAAAATACACTCATGATCTTTTAAGGGAAAAAAACAATATAGAAGGAAATAATTTTGTACTGTTACTGGTGGAGTTTGATCATATACACGCGATTGTTTAGTCATGGATGAAAATTGCCGGCAATTTTTGCGAACCAAAAGAGATAAACGGAATAATAACCGACGAGATGCATTTTGAAAATGATTCGTGTGAGCGGCAGTACTGCAACAAACTGGCCGCAGCTTTTGCGAGATCGATGCGCCAATAATTTCCTATGACGATTATAGCTCGTTCGATTCGCCGACATTATTCATCGGACAAAATACAGAATAAAACAACCAACGGCGAAATCACGTTAAAAGCTTTCCGCCTCTTTCTGTCAAAATGATTTTATGCTTCCCTCGTTGCCATCTCTCTTTCTTTCATTTTTTTAAATCTATATCCATCTATCTCTCTTTGAATTGTCATTTTGCGCTCTTTTGCCTTTCATATAGTCTTTCCTTGGTATCCCCGCTTTTCCTATCTATCGTTTCGGTCTTCTATAATTCAACATTCTAGCGTTGAAAAGCGTGCGCGAGTAAATGTGAAGCGTGGGTGCAATGAAAAAAACAGTGGAAGAAAGGTGAAACATAGGATGAAACAGGAAGAAGCACCTTGGAAATAAATTTCACAGCCAGAGTTCATGAAAAGTGCCGGTAGCCGTTAACGTAACACATCGAAATGCTCTCTCGTTCCCCCTGTATGTGATGTATGTAACAAGAGCTTGGTACGTTGCGAGAGAGAATGGACGAATTCTCGGATAAAAAGGATTAATTGCTCTCTCTAACGTTATCCTTTTTTCAATGGAAAAACCAATACAACGAGTCATTATCCGAAACTCTGGATAAGAAATGAGCGCAGTCGGGGTGAAATCGATCGAAAGGGAAATCTCTGTTCATATCGTTTGCCATTTCAAAAGAAGATACCTTAAAGACAGCTATAAAAATGCAATTTTAATTTGAAAATTTTTATCTGTTTATGACGAATCGATATCTCGCACATGAGGCGGCAATCAAATGAGGAGAAAATTGAAAAATGTGAATTATTTAAACATATTGACAGAAAGGAATTTTTATGAATATATTTTAAAAGGGTGAAATTATCTTTTTTTAATACATAAAAAAACTTTTGCATATCGTATATATAAATTTCTACTACTAAATTTTTATGAATATATTTTTAAAATATGTTCATAAAAATTCTAGTAAAAATGACGAAGCAAAAGATATATTTATAACATCGCATATGAATAAAATCACGTCTTTTCATTTATTATTATTTACGTTGCTTCGTGATTCCTTAGATAGGCCGAAATTGGCGCACGTTTACCATCGAGCGTTTACCATAAAATATCAGAACATGAATTCGCCACGACGGCTCCGCATGGCGAAAGTGAATTTTCAAAATCTGCTTTAGACACGGAGACGTGTCGAGAATTTCGACCAACGGATGCGGGACTGGTCAAATTTCTATCACGCTTATTCGCAAACTTATTGGTCAGAATGAGACGATCGATGCAGAGGCGTCATGGCGTCTGAAGCGAATTTTACGTTTCTCTAGAAAACCATTACCGATGCCGATTACTGCTGGTAGTCGGCTCGAATGACACATTTATGAGCGAAATAAAAGTCTCGACAACAGGGGACAGGAGTTTGTAATGAGGGTAATGGCGCGTTGGGAAACGAGTGGAGCCCGCGGAATAATGTCTCGCAGACAAAACGTCATTACAGAGGAAGATCGTTTTAGATGCGCATTGAACGTATGTCATCGCAAGGCAATCGAGATAGCGCAAAAATGAGTACACTAATGACTAACATAAGACTCGATGTATAATTCGTTTTAAGTGATACTTGAGAAGTAAACGTCGTATCTTTATACGAAATGTTCGCGATAAAAATTATATAAGGACATATTTTAATTTAATATATTCTTTACCTATAAATATGTTAAATTAAATTATTAATTATTTAATTAAATATATAAATTATTTATAAATGTTAAATCATAATTTAACATTTTTGTTTTATTTTTCAGAGCGCTGGCTGGGGAGGAGAAACCTCACCCTGGTCACCATGGTCGAAGTGGTCCCCATGTACGAGGTAAGTTTTCCATAAACAGATTGTTTGAATTTTCTCAATTTTTATAGTGTCCTGAGAAATCTTATTTTTATCATCGTAATTTACAGTCGTATAAAATGTCTTTCAAAAATGTCTGCAATTGAACTCACGAGATTGCGCAAAATTGTATTTGTTTTAATTTAATAAGATTTTAATTTTAAGCATGAGAGAGAGAGAGAGAGATTCGCTTTCAAGACATCTCATTCTATTATCTAATATATTTCTTAGGTATGTGTATCTTCATCTGTGCGAAATGAAAATTTTTATTTTTCTCGATCAAGAGAGATCGTATTCGAAAACAAACTCTGCTATACAGAGAATGTTACATCCGGGTCGCGCCACATATTGTTTGGTAACAGCGCGACTAAAAGGGCTTCCATAACTGTGGTCGGCCTTTCGCATGCAAGACATGATCCAATCCCCGCGATTTCTCATCGCCAGTGTTTCGTACGGTTTCTAATATTGAGTCTCCTGCTGGTAACGCAGCCGGAATGTTAAGCGTTCCGGAACTCATTTTGGTGGCCACCACCGGCAATAAGTTTGTTCTCGACTCTCACCCCGCTCGTTTTTCAGTTATACAGAAGTGGCTGGAACTGCGAGACGTAGCAATTTATGGCACTTACAACTTGCGAACTGCACTTGGCCGGGAAAGCTTATTGTGTGATCTACAGCGTTCTACTTATTGATGTTTGTACACCACCTGCACATATCTTCGTCTCTATTACAATCTGCGATATCGCTAATTACAAGTATGAAGTGATAATGCGATTATATACGATGCCGTAATTAACGTGATTATCCAGCGATTTTATTTTATTTATTATTGAGAAAATGATAATATATCGCCCATAATAGCTTATTATCGCAATAAATACACAGCCTTTAGGTAATTTAATTAGTATTATAAAGTTAATAATGCTAAATAATAGGTGATATAAGCTATTGCATATTGTGCTTGATGCATTATTTATGAGCGGTTTAAAAATTTCAACTGTTTCGCGTAATTTATTTACGTAATTACAAAGCTTCGTAATTGAGATTAATCAGTATATGGTACATATGTACGTACGCGTACGTGCCATGTATCATTATTTCAATTAACTAATTGTTTACGCATTGTTCAAAGTAGATAATTACTCTTCGTATAGAATAATGCAATCGATATCAACTTTTCTAAAATTGGAGCCAAGTCATGATCGATTTACATATACGCACAATCGGCAAAGCATTCAATAATGATGCCTACTGTATCGCGCTGTAAATGATCCACTGATTCATTTTTACGCACAAACAAAGGACTCTATGTACGTAAGCTGGAATATACGAACTTGCTTCCTAATCATTGATATTTTCACTATTTTCGTTCCGCCAAATTGAGAGTGCTCGGTTAATTTGCGCTCGATATTTAACGATTGTTTTCCATTAGCTTTGCTGCTCTATTTCCCGTGTCAAGTCGCTTCTAAAAATTTCCCAGCGCGATTTTCATTACTTTGACATACGTCTTTCATGAATTGTAACTATATTTGCACACAGTGTTAGAAGACATCGTGCTAAATAATTTCAAAGAATATCTACGAATCGTCTTCTCGATTTTTTACGTATTACTGGAACGGTTGTTTAAAATAACTGCAATCGAAATTTCTCGCGAACTAAGCTCTAATTAAAGTATTTTTGAAACTGTTTGAACAAAAGACTTCGAGACGTTTAATACGTCTATAACTATAACATTAATTGTTATAGTTAACAAGAACACTTTATGACACAAGTGACACTTTCATTTTAGTAGCAAATATGTTTTGCGGCAATCTCGGAGCAGAACTAACTTATATTCGTGGAGGTAATGCAATTTCTAGCGAATAAAGATCGCTCGTGGAATTAGCGTGAAGTAGTGAATTGAATTAATTAACTATGCGTCGCGCTAGCACGTGGCGATGAAACGTAATTAAACTCTTGACGATTTTAGCGCGACTTGATTATGAAAAGTTTATCGAGTAACCATGCCTGGGAAAGACACGCGGTCAAAGTGCATTCAAAAATAATTCACAGTCGTTATATTTAATTCGCCGATATAAATAAGTCTCTCCTCGTCTTTCAGGACGTGCGGTGGTGGAATCTCACGCCAGCAGCGTCGATGCAGACGTAAACCGTGCAAAAACAGACCCTGGATGATCAAATATAAAATCTGCAATCCTGAGGTGAGTGTTTTCAAATGTTAATTTAACTTAAACATTTGTCATCACCTTGCAAATATGGAAAATATCCTCTAAAATAATTTTCTCATCGTTTCGTTTCTCGTATTTTCAGTACAATAAATCTTATTACTCCACTTGTGATTAAATTTATTGACATAATAAGTGTCTAATTGAAATTTTTAAAATATAAAGTAGGTTGAAGTAGAGAAGTTGTAGTTGTAATAAATGTTAACGCGCAGAAATTCGATAGAAACCGTCCTGTTAAAACGATTTTAATTTTAGCCTAATTAGAGCGCTTTATCATAGTAAAAAAAGAACAAAATAATATCGCAATCTATCCAACATCATATGCATTTACGCAATTACTATCACGGAGGACGGTGCTAAAAACGAAGTTAAGTTATTGAAAATGACTATCGAAGGTAGCTAATAATGTCTCATAAAAACAGAATCGTTTTTCAACTTTACAAAAAATATTTAAAAAATTGCGATATGTATAAGAAGAGCAACGTTTCGCGTTAACCTCAATATATTCAAAGTGAAGCGACTTACAAAGTAGTTCTCGATGTGGTAAATTACGATTGATTTTCCGTTATGCAAATATATAAAGACGCATTCTAGTCACTTTTCATTCACATATTCTTTATATATACGTATCCAATGTAGAGTACAAGGCAACTAACTTTCTCTGCAATTTAAAATAATCGCGCCTCTCCGATAAAAGTAATGTAATCGCGCGTGTATACACATTAAAATATACATATATCTAAGCGCATTTAAAATCATCACTTTAACCGTTCTCGTATATTAATCAAGCGTTTAATCGCGATGCGTTTAACAGTGACATTGCTATTTTACGCTCATTGCGCGAGCGGAGCGCGCATAAAATATCGTTGATGCAAATGGATCGCGTCGATTACGAATTAAATGACATTTATTGTCGCAAATCGTTCTTAAATATTTTAATGCGCTCGCGAGCCATTGCCCTTCCACCCCTTTCCATCCCGGTCTCCGCATCAATATTGTGCCAACGGGGACATGAATTGGATATACATGATGAATTCGATATTGGTGTATAACAGCCGACAGCGTTCCTCTCTCGTGAATAAGCACGTTCTGGGCCGTGGCTACGACCAATACGCACGCTCTGCATTTGTCCGGGGTTACCCCCTACGGGACGTCGGGGATGCTGCAGCTGACCCGACCCATATTCGTATCTAGGGCAAATTTGAGGATGTAAATGCAGCTATACGCATTGGATAGTTTATCCTTGACGTCCTCGCACTGAGAAAAAGATCTGTTTGCATTAATTAGAATTCTGGTCGATTCAACCAGTATGTCTGTTGGAAAATAGACGAACCAGAATTCTTGTAGGAATTACCAGATGAATCTGATTAATTTCTTCCTGTTAAATTCACCAAATTTTCTGATTAATAATACTAAACTTGCCAGCACCAAGTCGCTTAAAATTTTTTCCACCTAATCTTAAAAGTCTGTTTAATATTCTAAATTCCAACAAGATTATTGGATAAATTCAATCCAGATTATTGAATAAATTATTTTAAATTCAGTTTGTTCGAAATTGCTAAACAGTGATGCAAGAAGAGGATGCAGCTCAAACACACACAATCAGAGAGCTAGCGTCCTCTTTCTGGCACTACTGCTCGTAAGAGAAAAAAATATACTTTGGATTTAATGTTAATACTAATTCTTTATATACATTTCATGGCAAATATTGAATACGAGTTAAGTTAAGAGGCAAGCAAAGAAATTAATATAACAAGAAATTTTATAGATCCAACCAGAAAATACCAATAAAATCCTTATAGTAAAATCTATTAAACGTTCTAGTTATAAAAAATCGAGTCTTATTATGATAACTAGAAATTCCAGTTTGATTTAACCAAAATGCCTTCAATCATATACGTCTTGTTGGTTCAAACGATTTTTCTCAGTGCGGTATCTTGTGTGCACGTTGGATCGATATCGATCGATCTGATTTTCTCTCCCTTAGCTAGAATGAATCATAACAGTGGCGTAATCGAGAGTAGATTGGATATATGTAAGTCAGAAAATCGCGCATAGTTAACCCGAATCAAGAGAGATATTAATCACGATAAAGTAATTTTGTGCTCTGAATCGCGCAAATCGATTGTGTTTGCGTGTTGGAACGTCTATTAAAAACATATTTAACACACGAGTGTGTGCGTTCGGTGTTTCTATACAAATATTGATCTATATAATTATTTGATACTTGGCTGTCGGGATAAATTGTTTTATCTATCTTGATTTAAATTAACAAAATAAAAAGGGGAAAAAATTGTCGTATTATCTGATACATGTTAATCTAATGAATGTCACGTAACGAATGTCTTTCATTATTCGAAATTTCGAATAAATCACACATCGATCGACTGACGTTAAAATCGATAGATAGAGATGGTACGATCGGCTTCATTCTGTATGTGATCGTGACGTGATGGCACGATGCTTCTTCCCGTGCGAGTGTATTTGACGAAACTACAATTCCATGCATGACACGTCACATATCAATCAATTGCTACAATGTTCGGTCTGATAATATGTACATTAAAATCACTTTTTTTTTTGGTGCAGCAAGGGGTAAAAATATGAATCGACATACTCGCAAATATTTAATTTTTATAAATTAATTTTTATAATTTTTTATTTTTTAATTTTTAATTTTTTTTAATTTTTATTTTTTTTAATTTTTATTTTTTAATTTTTAATTTTTTTTTCGCTAAAAAGAAATCATTGCAATCTATTATTAAATTTCGTGTCGTTGGAGCTACTCTATTTTATTGTCATGAATCTAATAGGTAGATAAGACGTAAAATTTTTCGTAAGAAAATACTTTTCAAAATACTTTTCAAGTTTGCAAGTCGTGATGCATCGGATGTAAACGATACCAACGCTCGCCATTTTTCGTCTCGATTAACACGCTTGTCGCATTAACGCGACGACGCTCGACCTAAATTGACGTCGTTAACCGACTCGCTCGGCACGGATCTCTCGTGGGATCGTGTATCCCGGGTTCCCGTAAAATCGTAAAAGTGCGCAAAGCACCGTCGGGTCCCAGATGGAGAGAAATGCCTTTGTCGCGACGACGTGACATTCCACCCGCGGGAGGATGTCCGCCCTCGCTTTCTCCGCGCGAGAAAGTGCGCATTCGAACTATGTTCATCTTGCGTTTTTGATCTCCCCCCTTCTCTTTTTTCCATGCATGACACAAAAATATCGACGACCGTTTATAAAGGCCGCGCCGTCAATTTCAGCGAGACGCTTTGCCCGATACCCTCTCATCCTCGCTTTTTCGCGTTATGTACTCCGCATACGTAATACGTAATATCTTTTCGTTTAGCCGGACCAAAATGTTTTATTATCCTCTCCCGACAGCGGTGGACTGAACTTTGCTAATTTACATTCCTGGGCAACGCGCATGCGAGGGTACTACTGTGTATGTATTACAACTGCGGTTAGAACCGCAGTAGGCTATATTGTCAGCCTATATAATGAAAATATGTAAATTGCGGCTCCTATTCTTCTTCTCTTTATTCTTTCTCCTTCTATTAATACGTACATTCGAAAAATATGGCTACAGAATAAAAAGCCTCGAAAATATGATTTTTTCCAGTGTAAATAAAAAACCTTTGCAGAATAAAATTTTGCTGCAAAATTTACTGCACATGTTGTAATTATGAAACATTTGTGCATGATACATTATGATTATGATTTATATATATATATATATATATATATATATATATATATAAATAATAAATGGATCTTGTGATGTACTGCGAGAGATTTGTTGACAAATTTTTGCATCTCCGAGTTGACGCTGACTTATGCGTGGTTGCGAAAATGACAGACAGCGGAAAGAAAAACGCAAGTCTCTCCCAGATATATCAAGAATTCCGTTCGCACGATAAACGTCAGTAGAAACAGGTCTGAATAGCTCGCAAAATATTCCAGACTTGTTACATTAATTTTCCAAGATTATCCCTACGAAATGTAATAGCCTCATAATTTTTTGATGCTCTATATTAGGCTCTTTTTAGGATTTTCTGTTATGCATGATAACAATTCCGTTTTATACGTGGCCAAAGCATTTTCAGACTCCATCTATTTTCTTTTTGTTTTTCTCGTTTAAATATCTTTTCTCTTATTATTAAAACCATCAAAAAATTTTCATTTGAAGATATGAAAATTTTGATTATTTTTAACTTTTTAATTTCCTTTTTTACTTTTGACATTCATGCACAAAGTTCTTGCTTCTAATACCATCATATTTTTTCCGCGAGTAGATCCAATTTATATATGTTACAAGAGTGCGAAACTTTTCCCGAGTCTGTTCTCCCAAGATTTGTTGCATTTACTCACATGTCAAAATGACGTGGATTTTGCTTCTACCGTGGGACATCTCTCATTCAAGCTGATGGACAATTTTCTGCGAGCCATAAGTGCCGTTTCGCTTCTGTGCTTTTTATGATATCACATCCAATCGAGGAGCATGATTGGTCAATAGTGCACGATCGGCCTTCTGTACAAATGACCGTCCGTAATCCCGACAATTCTGATATCATCGGTACCTTGCAGCTATTGCTATCGAAAAAGATTTGATTTATTATTATCCAGCGCAGTAACAATTTTTCCCATTGCGAAAAACATAGAGAATGGAAGAACATTTATAGTTGAATGATTTGATATCACAAAGTATACAAAAAATGTCCCACCTTTGCAGCATCAAACTTACACGATAAATATTTTTTGAAGCTTAAAATTTATTTTTTGCGCAGATTTGACGGATTTGATAAAATTATTTTTAAATTAATTTTAATTTCTTCTTTTGTTCTTGATATTTATATACAGCTTCTTGTTATTATGTATAAAATTATCAATAGAATTTTTATGAGAAGCATGAGCGAAATTCTATTAGAATGATATAATCAAAATAAATACAATTACGTTATTAATCTTCC